GCAAAACACTTGTTATTTCGTTGTTAACTCAGTGTACCCATCGGCGAAGTGCAAGAGAAAGAAACTTAAACGTGTCATCTTGTTCTTTCAGTCACATGCAGCCAAAGTATCTGCTAACTTGGAAGTATAGGGCAACTCTGAAACACACGAAAATGTGGTCAGATTTACCTTTATCACAAAATAATGTTACTTGAAGGTGGTACGAGCAGTATAAATCTTAAAATGCCAGATGAGAGTAAAGGAGATATCACCCGACTCACACACGAGAATTACACTGAAAAAATGATTTTGATCTGGGCCCCTAGACTTTGTTTGTTGGGTTTTTGCTTGTTGTCCGCGTGAAACATCACGTGTTCGTCTGATGTTGCATCTTTATTACGAGGTCCAAAAATCGTCGCCGTTTTAGGAGGCTTTGAGTGACTGAGACTATTTGGAAAGTTCAAACCGATTTTAAGTGATAATGGGCGACATAATGCGATTTTAGTCAACTTAAGGGTACTTTAGACAACTTAACGTAAGCCGATTTGAACAAAACTAACAGAAAAACAAGAGAGGCAGTAGGCACTTTACATACTGGAGTAGGTCTTGTGACTTTGCACCTTAAAATATTATTTAAAAAAACCCAATAATCTCCGTTTTCCGCATTATTGTACATTCCGTGAAGTCTGCAACCATTCACGTTGGGCGGTTTATTTCGGTGTGAGTGTTGTAAGGTGTGCAACAAAATAAAATAAAATCAGAATTTCTAATTCCCGGCTATCGAGATAAGGAAACCATGATTAACCGATTGCGCTCGTCCCCTACCTCCCCTCCCTCCCTCTTAAGTCTTCCTCGGTCCAATTAGAGGTAGTTTAAATCATGAGCTAATCGGAGAAACTCGTTCTTTCCTGCCAGAAGGTATCAGTACTGAAAGGAAGTTCCTCAGGAGAGATGAGCGTGTTTTAAAGCACGAACAGTTAGTGCAGGACGGAAGTTCGCAAAGAGGTTTGAGAGTCCTCGAGGTCGACCAAAGTCTCTTGATTGGACTTCCAGTCGCTGAAACTTCTCAAGAGACTCAACGTGACAAAGACAAGGTCTTGTCTGGCAGAACGTCCATGTCATTACTGAAATACACAAACATGGTGACGATGAAAAGGAATTTGCTCATCACCGTGCTGTAAAAACTTAGCTCGATCAAGCTGACTTTCTCTCTTACAATACGGTTTATTATTGTAAAGGCAATGGGAGAGATATTAGAGAAATGGTATTCAAAAGTCATGAAAGATTACAATTTTGAAGGCCGTTCTAATTAAGCGAAACCATACGAAACATGTTCCTAGCACTTAAAAGAACGGTGATGACAAACTTTAAGGTTTTATTCTTCTTTTTTCTTCTTTCAATCATAAACTTGGGAGATCTTTCAGCTGTATTCGCTAAAAACCTAACTCTAACCATATCTTTACAGGCACAATTTCATAGACAAAAGAAACAAGGCGTAAACATAATGACTAAACTCTATTATTTTCCATTAGGTTTACAGCAGAAAGTATCATGTGCCCTAAATATTACGGCATCGATCTTATCATTGCGTATTTCCCATTTTTTTTCTTCTGCGGGAAGTTTCAATATATTTCAGGAACTTGTGGGCGGTGTATAATTTTCAAAACTAATTTTCTCTGAAATTGTAATTCTACCACATGAGGTACACAGTTTTTCAGAACTGTCACAAATATTTATGTACATATTAAGACCCTCCACGAATGCTTATCGGACCATCGGCCGGACAAAAACGATTTTTATCTTTATGTCTTAGTTCGTGGAATCAAGAAGTCGAAAACACTTAGGATACATTTTAAGGCTTTTCCACGGCACGTAAAATGAAGAAACAATTTAAGTTGGCAGTTAAAGTGATATGAAAATTTTCGCTAGCCAAACCACAAACTTTGAACAGTTTTTCTCAAAACACACGGTGACACAAAGTGGCATGACACCTAGTCACACACCTTTGAACAAATGTAGATTATATAGGGGAGAAAACCTTTTCACTAATTAAGTTCCATATTCACATATTGTATCTAAATTGAATGTAATTTACCCAGACAAGAGAATCTGCATATTTCCATTAGATTTCAGGTATTTCCACGAAGTGGAACGTTGATTGAAACTGAAGAACTTGAGCACCGGGAGGGGTAGCCATATTGGCGAGTACTGCTGCTTCTTTACAGGGCAACCACGTTTTTTTATTATTATTATTATTTTTCCTTTTTAAAGAAATAACTAGTGATAACAGAAGGTTGGAGAGACAGAAAGGCCTCTAAAATTTAAAGTCAACAAATTAACAGCAGCTGACCAAAAGAAAGTCGAATATGGAGACAACATCAGTTTCTACCGATTTTGGACCACATTACTGGCAAATTTGAATAATATCGAAATGCCGTTCGAGGTTTCGCGTTTTTCATCCCGCGAAGAAAAAAAAAAAACAACAACAGTTACTCCATTTCCGTCTTCGCGCAGTAAGTTTGCGTCAACATTTGAACATTACGGGAACAAAGAAGCTCAAGTTTAAATTATCAATTGCCTTCGTACAGTATCTCCAAAGTATTTCACGTTTAGAGATTTCTTGTGCAAACAGATTGTATTGCAGGGAGCAGTTGCTATCTCCTGTTTAGACCGAGCTGATAGTTGCTGAAAAGTTTAACGACTTGTTCAAACAAGCTCAAACGGTGATGGCGAGGTCAAAGTGTGAAGATTGACAATGGAGAGAACTCTATTAGTCATACAAGGATGGAAGCTGTGTTTTTACTTTGATGTTGTAATTCTGTAGAAAAAGAATATATCGCAAAGTAGCTATGGCCGCTCGACTGTTGGTTTTGTTGGGGAGCATCGAGCAGCCTGGAACATGCTATAAAATAACTTTACCTCAATGATTTTATGCCAGATAGTGATAAGGAAGTCGGGCTGGTGAATCTTGTGTAATTATCTTTTTTGTCTTTTCTGTTTTCATCACTGAAGGTCAAACAATCATTACCATGTGTGTTGACTAAATTATTGGAAGTCAATTTTAATTATAGTTTCGTTCGCTTGCTTTACTAATTAGCGACATGTTTTAAATCTACTATCAAAGAAGTCTTTCATCAGTGCTATTGCATGACATGAAGGACGGTAAACCGGCTTTCCTGACATGCTTGTTCACGATTAAGTTTGGTTATTCCGTGCATGGTCAAGCAAGCTTATTTTTATCCGTGTGAAGCCTCTTATCTTTAAGACTCTAAATGATACGCTTGCTTATTCTTCACTCGTCAAATAAAGGAATTTGTAATATTTATTTTTAGCATTATTCATGTTCCCGAAAGTTTGCTTCTTTCCCGAAGAGCTGAAGAACCCCATAGAATTACAATTTCTGCTTTTAAGATTATTTAGCGGCTATCATTTGTAAAGGTCTCTAACTTTAAATCTTATCACTCCGTATCACTTGGAACAAAACTTTTTTGCCGGTTTAAGAAGATCGTGCGGAGCGCCCTGCCTGATTCATGTAGGTTCCGGCAATTTGATTCTTTGAGAAAACAAAGTTTTAACGATAGGCAAATACACTTAAAACTGTTTACGCAGGGCAGAAACTTTCTCCAAAGCAGGATGCTAAAACACAAGAACATAACACTTTTAAAAGCTTATCTGTCCGGAAATCATGCGCAACTTAGGTTTCGCAAGCTACGTCCCATGACTTATTTAGGGGAGGTCCGACATGAGAAGTTATTAACCAGCAATAACTTAACACACAGAGAAGCTCGAGCATTGGATTGGAAGAAGAGGCAAGATATTCTACAGGAAACAGAAGTACACGGTAAATATCAAGGTAAGACTTAAACCAACCACGATTGTATTCTCTCGAAGGTCAATTGAGCTCTCAATTCTTGGTTCGCGGAAAAGAGAGAGAGAAAAAAAAAATCTTGGACATGTCCTTCGCAGACTGTCAGTTAATTGAGTTCAGAAATAGGACTTGTAACTTTTTCTTACCGTGAAGCTGTATTTAGCAATTCTTAATCGCGTTTGACAATTAAAGTATTTATGCATAAAAATTCAGCGAGGGTTAAAAATTATTTAGGCTGTCTCGTGCGTGGAATTTGTTCATAATTTGAAGTGGTCGCCAATTGTGTACTTGAAATATGTCTATGTTACAAGCCCAGCAGGCTAACATGCGAGTGAATCAAACGAGGTTTGCTATATGTCTTTAAATTCGCCCAGAAGGTTTTTATTTTCGACACATAATGATAAAACACGAATGAGTTAATAAGCCTTTTACTTTTCTTTCAAAAAGGCCACTTCAAAATGATCTCCGTGGAAACCGCCTCTCAGTCGAATTATTCTTTTGTGTGGGCCCTATCAAGTAATTTTGAATTAAAATTTCAAAATTGGTTCCGGGAAAGCATGGATGTGCCAAGATATTAGAGGAAATAAAAACATACAACAAACAGAATAGCTCGACTATCAGCTTACGAAGTCTGTGGAACAAGCAGTTATAACTTTTGGATATATCTTCGCTGCTTCCATTGAGAACAATACTTTCTGGAAAACAATCGACAACTGAATTATTTTTGACATACTCGTGATCTCGGCAGCGGGAGAGAATCAAAAGGAAACAGCCGGGAATATAACGTGTGGGAGTAAAACCGAGTTAAAGTGTTTGGAGGCTAAGAAATCTTGATAAGTTTTAATTCAATATTGCTGACACTGCGGACAAAAACTACGGTGGGATTAAAATGTGTTGTTGTTTTTATAAAAGTTCTAGAAATAATCTTGTGCAATCAAAACACGTGCACACTCTGGTTTCACTTGATGTCAACGTGCTCTTTGGCGAGGCGTTCCCTTTAACATGTTTTATCAGAGATTTTGACATACAGCGGAGTCAGGACCCTGGCTGAGTGCTGTCATTGACAGATAAATGCCAATGGCGTCAGACTTATTACCAAAGAGAGTAGATGACGTCATGCTCTCATTCGTAGCCGGTGACCGCTCTTGTGTGCGGCTAGCCGAAATGATTTTTACAAGGCCAATAGACTATCACGTCTCTTGACTGGGTTGAATATTCTGCACGGCAATAAGTCAATTTTATACGTTGAGTTGAAAATCGGAAGGTGTGAAAATTTCTCTAAAAGGTATGTGCGACAAATTCGTGACTCACAGGACTTTGCCCTCATGGCAAGGTAAATTCAAACAACGAAAAAACACTGAGGGGTCTTATATATTTTTTTTTCTGATTCGACAAAATGTCGTTTTGACTGAAATGGTATTTTGCTAATAATGTGGTAGTTTGTAAATAAGAACTGTGACTTGTCAAAATAAAGGATGGCGCAGACTGTTCTATTTAGTTCAAGAATGTAAGCAAATTCATTTTTCCTCATATTTTGTCGTTTAATTTCTTGGCACGCAGATGAACACGTTTCACCAGATTAGAATCATTGTTTTGGTCATGCTTGGCATTTCCCTCAGCAACAGCAGTCCGTTGGAGAGACTGAAACGTTCCTTGGACGATGAAGCAGACAGCCCGTGTATCCCAGGGGTATGGGCATGCCCCGGGCTTAAAGAGCGCAATATCAAGACGCTCAGTGAGTCCCAGAAAACCTTCCCCGAGCCGGCCAAGGTCGCCAGTGCCGTAACCGCCAAGATGGGGGTGGAAGATAGCCCAAGCCACGATGCTGCGACACAGGTTGAAGGAGCGAGAACCGAGAACAGTGTCAACACCTATGACGATGACCAGTCAGAAGACAGCCCGGACAAATGTCCCCTCGGAGGCTTGAGTTGTCGCAGAAAACGAATGCTGAACAGAATGCTGAAGCACGTGAGACGGGTGGAGAGATCGGCAAAGAAATGTCCTCCCGGAATTTGGGTGTGCTGAGAGAAGTTTGAATATTCATCTCAGATTATTTTGACGAAGTGAGCAACAAACCAAACATTTAATACCTCAACAACTGGCATTGTAGTTTCGCTTTTTAACTTATTAGTTGTAGCTTTCCAATTCATTTCAGTTAGGAGAAATATATTTAAGCTTATTTTAAAGAAAGTACCTCTGTTTAAGGGTTTTAGGAACTAAGTTTTATTTATAGCATTCATATCACGGTGGTACTATTTGTGACAATTTATTTAGCCCTTGGGGCAAAATATCGCATTAAAAACAAGGTGGTAACTCAAATTTCTTTGTGTGTCTTTTTGTAAAGCAGCAGCCGGAAAGTACTGGTCGAAGAACGAAAGCGGGAAACAACTTAAGTGGGACTATATCTTGGGATACTTGTGATAAGTTTGAAGAAGAGGCCAGGGGAGAAAATTGGGAGGAGGGTTTTCATTCTCTCTCCTCTTTTCCCCTTTATTCGAGCAAGAAACTTCCCAACCTTGCGCCCAGGAGGGGGAGTTGAAGGTGTCGCTATTCCTTGGGGATACTCAGTGATAAGTTTAGAGTAAAGGCCCGGTGGGGTTACAGAGGGAGGGCTTTTTCTTTCGTTGTCTTCACTTCCCCCCTTTCCGAGAAGAGAACGACTTCCCTGACTTTGCCCCAGGGTAAGGGAGGTCCTGATGAGGCTGGAATGCTTATGGTAGAGTTTGGAACAAACCCCCAGAGGAGACTAATCTGAACGTCAATCAAGCTTTATTTGACACTGGCCTAAAAGATATTATGCTAAAAGGACAGACAAATTAGAGACGTTGTCATCGAGCGCTATTTTAATTATGAGTGATCGATCAAATCAACAACACATGACGGCGATTTTTCATTTCTTCACGTGCGAACCTTAAAGACACGTTAACATTATCCTTTTGTTCTGAAAACCTTTTAAAAAACAGAAAACATTTTTCGTGTTTCTATCGAGTTTGAATATAAATCTACTGGCGTTCCTCACTATACATTCTGTTGTAGATAGTGAGTAGCCTAGCATTGTGCGATTGGTAACAAAATCGCGTCTGCTTCTTTGGGTTTTGGAAGTGTCTGTAAAGAGGATATAGATAAAGTTTTGAGCGACTAGTAGATTTATACTAAAACAATTACATTATTCGCTCTCCATAAAGTTTTGAACGACTAGTAGACTTACACTAAAACAATTAAATCATTCGCTCTCGGCAATTTCCATGCGTGATAGTTGACTCGGGCTGTGCACGCGATAGACTGAAATCTCGAGCTCATAATCTAATTGTTAAACTGAAAAGAAACACGAAGTTTGTGAGGACGAGAAATGCTGTAATATCACGAACTGCATGCGTGCTTCTTTTTTTATGCACCAGTCAGTCAGTGTTTCTACATAATGACGCATGATAAGGCTTGGCTGTTTCCGCTGGAAAGTGTCAGTTCGTCAAACTTTCACGAGTGCTTTTGAAACTGGATTTGTTCACTGAACTGATGGGTGCGCGAAAACACCTTCAAGTTTCAAACAACAATTCAATCCACATGCGAATGGCTGGTTGAGGGAAATCTTGTTAGAAGGCTACTAAGACAATTCCCTCTCGATTTCGACGAGATGATAGCTGATTTCATATGATCTAATTGTTAAGTACGGCTTTTGGCACGCGCTTCCATGAGGGTTGTTTTCTGAAAGAAAATAGTTTTCATCCTTTCGGGAGAGAGAACGAACGCCCCCACCCTTTTCACTGATGTGAGTTTCCCACGGGACTGAACCCATTTTCATTTCGTCCCCCTCTCTATTAAGCACCACCACTGACACCCTCCACGTTGAGTCAGCTCTATCAAAGATCAGCATTTAAACACGACGCATGAAAATCACGAGAATATCGGAGGCACCGTAAATTGCAAACATTTTTCCAACTGTTCTGAAACTCCCACTGGTTCGTTTGATCTTTTGCTTTCCAGGGCGTGATTAGAACGCAAGTCGCTTTATTTAATTTCCTCAGTTCCACCATATATTTTTCCGCACCGTTGTTATCTGAAATCGAATGACTAAGATATTGTGGCCTTAAACTGCAAGACGTTTAAGTCACTTATGTAGGGCAGAAACCTCACTAGAACACTGAGGCACTTGTCGCCTTGTTACGTAACAGGATAACCACAAGTTCATTTGTTGATGACGTTCTACAGTCTGTGAAGTTCTTTGAATACTTAGCTTTTGCTTGAAGGAATAAGTGGCATGTAAATGTACCCTCTTTCTTTGATAGTCTTGTTTCAGATTGCTGCTCTTAATAAGGAGCTGTGCTGTCTATATCATGTACCTTATTACATGAAATTTTCGCGACACGTTAATTTCGCGATTTTGAGGTTCGCATATTTCGCGACACGTTAATTTCGCGATTTTGCGAAAATTTTACATTTTGACTCACTTAATTTCGCGTTTTTGAGTGAGACACACTATATTTCTTTGTCAATGTTATTTAAGATGTCCCTGAATTTGATCAAACAACTTAATCAACAACGTCCAAATAAACAGAAACGCAAGTAATTATGTAAACAGTAACAAGAAAGATGTTCTCACAGTCAAAATGATTGTTATAAACGTGTGTAATGGTAACAAAGTCGCTTTTTTTAATTATTGACGTAATGTGAGTCACTTAATTTTCGCATCATGTTAATTTCGCGACATTTAATTTTCGCGTCACTTAAATTTCGCGATTTTTTTTAAATCGCGAAATTCGCGAAATTAACGTGTCGCGAAAATTTCATGTAATAAGGTATACATTTTTTGTTTAACTTGGTCAGGAATTAAACTGAGCACAAGGTTAACCCGATCTTCTACTAGGCACCCAGTCCCTATGGTGTACATTGGGACGGTTTACTACATGGAGCGTTTTCTTGCAGCAGACAATAAGAAATGTTAGCATAGGGAGAGAGTTTATTTCCTAAAGAAGAGAACTTCTATCGTTTGGGAACATCAATATGGCCACCGCGACGTCATGTGAAAACGCTTATAACAAGGTGCTCCTTGATGTAACCTCTACCCGTCACTTGTGCCACGTGCCTTTCGGAGACTTTAATAGCCTTGGCAGAGACTTTCATGGCCTTACTGAGTCAGTGCCCATCCCTGAAAACAAAAGTCAAAAGAAAAGGACAAAAAGGTCGGTCACGTTTTCAGAGATAAACTGTGAACTGTTGACACGTGTAGATCAGTTTCAGTTCAACCGCCTGTGTACATGTAATCCTAACCTTCGATCAAGCGTTCTTTTTTCTGCCAAAAAAAGAACGCCAAAAAAAGAACTCCTGATCGCAGGTTAGCGGTGTAATCTGTGTCTTGTGACGCTGTTGTGATTGCACAAACAGTTTTTTTTTTGGTAGCTGGCATCCCTTTCTCTTCAAGAAAGAGTTCTTTTTTGGGAAACGGAGTTTGTTAATTTCGGAACTTTACAACAGAGTGGATTGGTGGTAGAGTCCCGCCTTTGTGGTATCCTTAGGAGGGACTTCCTATAGTAAAGAAATGCGTGACAAATACAAGAGTGAGTAGCAGCGGTAACATATAGCAGAACCCTAGGGGAGAGAAGAGCGAGGGGTAATTCACGTGCCGCCGCAAAGGAAATAGATTGATAATTCGAGACAATTAAGCGTTCGACTTTCTAGTTTGACATAGGCGTTTTTCAATGCGAACTATACCGATATTTTATGGGATATTAATCTTCCAACTCTCAGGTATATTATTAAAAATTGGATTATTAAATTATGCAGTTCAAGAGTTTTCATTGGCTTAGCCATAATGGTATATGAGCCATTATACCATGCCCTACAAATTTGGTAAGCTTACAAGTAATCTTTTGGAGCGTTTTTATTTTTATTTTACTTTAATTTTCTTTATTTTGGAGGGGTCTTTAACAAAAAAAATTATTCCATTTGCGCTTGTTGGTGGTATGAAATGATTATAGCCAACTCGGCTATCTATCATCTTATATCCAACGCGCGCTCGTGTAATAACTGTTAAATGTACATATGTTGAAAGGGGAGAAGAGATTTTAGAGGTCACGTTTCAAATAAGTATGGAAAATCATATTTTGGGCAAGGGCGGCACACTAACACAAAATATACATTGGGAGACTGCTTTGTTCTACAACAGAATGAGTAATTGTCGGCTACGATTAACCACCTCACGTGTGACCGCAGATGTTAAAAAAGAATGGAGGACTGGGAAAAAGACAAATCAGTTGACAATAAAACGTGATTAGGCACGCACAAAACAATGGGACACGCGAATTTTTTTTTCAGTTACTTTATACACTGTTTTTTTTTTTTTTTTTTTTTAATAAGAATATTGTTTTTCCAGTCGAGGCTGAATATTCTAATTTTTCTGCCGATTTTAGCTCGAAAGTATTCTAGTGAATATTCTTAGATTATGGTGTATGACATATCTGCTTTCGAATGTATTTGGTGTCTGGATGATGTTTAGAATAAAGCGGTTCTTATAATGGAATACTCGCCGCTTAATTTTTTTTTACTCATTTGGACCAGTTGAAATAGTTTGCAAAATAAAGGGATATTATAGTAAGCTTTAATATTTTGTCTCTGTCTCAGTAGACAAGTTTTAAGACCAAAAATGTTGCAAAATGACTTAAAAATTCTCATTACCGAGTTCTTTTTGAAAAGCACACGTGTGAAGCAGTGGGGGTTTTTGTTTCCGTTATAAGGAAAAGAGAATTCACAGACACAAACCAGAGGAAAGAGTACTGTGCAAGGGCTTCTCGTCAGCTACTCATTTATTTCGTTTCATTTGTGTCAGTTGTTATTAGCCACTGTCCTGAAAAGACAGAGTCGACTGTCCAGAGAGACAAACAGCAAAATGTAAGCACCACTGTAATTATATTGCAAACCTTATTTTAGTGCATGTATAGCATTTGCAGGGAACATTCACTCGCCAGTAGGACCAGTAGCGCTGAAAAATTTCTCAAGGTGCTGATCCCCGTGCTGCTCCAACAAATACAACGTATGCGTTTTATTCGAGCCCATGTGGTAATTCTGAGATCAGGAAGTCGAAGAAAGAAGGGAAAATCGTTTACTTCTCCCTCTGCTGAGAAGCATGCATACCACCATACCAGAATCAGTTAAAAGTAAGTCTTCGTTATAGGTTCTTCGGTCATGGGTCACCAACTTGCGTGGCAGCGCTTAAAGGGGAGGGAGAGGGGGAAACAGGCTAATGGGTCACAATCTTAAGCAACATTTCATGGAGATGGGGGAATGCTCAGTGAATGTTTGTCTCTAGCTCTTTTAAGGGGTCCTTTGATTTTAAAGTTGATTTTGTACTATGCAAAAACAAAGTAGACCACAACATAGCTGAATCCTCGGCCAAAGGATTGCCGATAAGTTTCAAGCCGTTATACGTATAAAACAAAGCAACGCAATCATGAACATTGTCGGGACATTTTGGTACGTACATCAACTGCATGGGTCTTTCCCCCAAAACCTGAAACGTTTGGCTCTGCCATCGTACTAAATCATCACTAAAGTGTTAACACGAAGTCCGTCCTTGAAGCTTTTCCTGTTCTTTGCATCATTGTACCTCCTACTGCGAAGAAACGGCGTCACGAATATTCCAGGCAAAAACGTACGTGCTGAAACAAGGGAGATACGGTAAATGACCTTTGTACCATAGAGAGAGGCAACCGACATGACAACTGGACCCAGTATGTCCTAGAGGAACGAATGAATATAAAATCTAAAGTTTAAAATCTCAATGGCCAAGACTGGGGCCAATTTTAATTCTTACATAATAAGATATGCTTCACTTATTAAATGTTTGACGTGAAAGTTTTTGTACAGTCCGCACGACATTTGAAACGGCACGTTTATCCTTTTGTACAAAATAACTGAGATTCTACGCGCGCTCTGATTGGTCAAAAACCTATCGTTTAGTGTACCGGTAAACACATGGTTTCGGTTACGCAGCACTAATAACCGGACAAACTGAAAATGCTTGAACTCACCAGTGCATATTTTGATTTATTACATTTATTCCATATTACTTACTAGTTTTCAGGACATTTAGTAAATAGATACTTTCTTACAACGGAAAACTTTAGATACTCTTCGGTTCCCTCAGTGTACAAAACCTACGTTTGTATAGATATATAATAAACAGATGGACACTTTATAGAGGCCATTAATCTCGAAATTCGTGTTGTTGAGTCATTCCAAGGCCAAGCTGGCATGTGGTTAAGTTTCACTTCCTTGATGGGCGGGTTTTCTAAATTACAGTGTTTCAAAAGGACTTACAAACGCGGAAACATATTTGCGGTAGCATTGTTGCTCCTAATGATTGTTGGGTGAGAAAAACCAGCGGGAAGCAAAAGCTTCCCTCTCCCGCTGACCATGTTAAAGTACTTTATGCGCAGTGAAGGATGCGCAATGCAAACCAAACATGACGTCACTGCACTCAATGAACTGCTGCTGTGTGCGTTTTTTCGCGTTTTTTCGCGTTTCTGATGAAGAGCGACGATGACAGAAGGATACCAGGCTCCGATAGTAGCTGAATCCCGAAAAGAAGGGAAAACGACGGAGCCTTCGCTTTGAAACATTCAAGGAGTTGCAGTGATAACCCTATCTCAAAAGTATTTCCTCATTTGCCATCAGGATCTTAATCCCTGCTTGAAAAGAATTGGCTCTATTCCATTTCCTTCTTCTTTTAACAGTTTTCAGATGTTTATCTTAAAGGAATTTCGATTCTCAGGCGCGAAATCCGATAAATAGATAACTTGCTAATGACGCTGATAGGCATACCTACCATAAGTTTAAATAATAAGGGAAAACCTGAAGAAAATTCATTCCCTCTGAAGTAATCCCACAATGCTGGTGTTAATGAATGGTTTAGATCTCATATCTGGCTTGATTCCTAATTATAATAGTTCGGTTACCTTTAGTTCGAAAATTAGAGATGTAACTGATTATGGATTTTGGTCGCGCTTAGGTTAATCAGGAAAGAACCCTCATGATATAACCATCACGATATCTTTGAGGGTTGAACCCGCGGAAGTAAACAGGCCGTCATTCTTTGTGGATGGTTAAGATCAATCAGACATCAAATCTCTAAAATTTCGACACTTAATGGATTGTCTTTATCGTCGTTTAAGTAACTACAGCTTCCATTTACGTGTCTGTTCAAGAATGTTATCTTAAAAAAGCGGAGGCCGCGCTCACATATTAGTTTCATTTAAGGGTTTTGTTCAAATCTTTCGTCAACCTTCATCGCTCCTTTCACATGGGAGTCCCCCGATCTTTTACTGCGAGTCTGCACAAAGCAGCGAAACCTGAACGTCCACTACTGTAGTCTAGTCCTTCATCAGTTGCTCTTACTAGAATCATCACGCAACACGCCTATATGATCATAAATATTTATAAAATAACTGAGATACTACGCGCATTTTCATTGGTCCATAGATATGTTTAGATGAGAGTATGTAAACACGGTTGTGACGTTTTCAATTCGCGCGTATTCTTGAGAAATATTTTATAAAAGCAGTAGAGTACTTTTTCCGTGTTTACATAGCCTCATCTAAACACTTGGGAGGTTGAGAAAACTCTCGAAAGTTATGCCAAGCCCCGACTGCGTCTCGGGTTTGCGTATCTGTCTCAAATTCTCCGAAGCCCCCTCGTGTTTAGATGAAGCTGTGTAAACACTAGTCTGCTGGCAGCCGGTTTCTTCTCTTAGGGTCCCTTAGACGAGTGTTTAGTCATCGCGAACACAAAAGGACAGTATGGCGGTGGCCGAGTGGGGAAGAAGGCGAGACGTGCGTGCCGCGCCCATGTCTCGACCCATTCCCCTTTACCCTAAAGCGTCATTCCTCATAACCCCTGCTGAATTTCGAGAGAAAAACAGACTGCCAGCAGTCTATGTAAACACGGAAAAAGTGCTCTATTGCCTAAATATGCACGCAATACATATGAAGTGGCGTTATTTTTGGAAAAGTGGAACTTGTCGATACCTTAGCCTTACCGTTGGGAGACAATTCAGTGCACGAAACATTGCGAGAGAGGTGTCGTAACCCTTCTTGGTGTTGTAAGCGACAAAAAGTAGAATCAAATTCTAAACGTTTGCAATGATTGCTAAACAGGAAACATTGCGAGACTTGTTCGCTTCAAGGTGTTTGAGTACGCAAGGCAAATTTTCGTGCAGCGTGTGCAACTCAGTTGCACGAAAAATAAGTTGCCGTTAGGCGGTGTCTACTCTTCTGTGCCTGCTGACAATGTTTTCGTCGATCAAATTGAGATTACTTCAATTCTGCTCCGTGAAAAGGTTTTAAAATTCTCGTGGCGGCAGAGCAGTTTGTCCAAATTAATATTCCAAACAAGAAAAAGTGGGTGACTGTACAGAATTATTCTGCGCAATTAGCAATTTTTCTAAAAATTCTTCAAAAATCCTTTGGCTGGGGGCACGGCCTGTAAAAGTCATAGAGCATTCGTTGTTACTTCATTTTAGGGGATAACGTTTGTCCATAGTTCCGCTTAGGGGTGCTAAAAACAACAATGACCGTCGTTAGAGTTATCCCAGTACCTGAGTAGAAAACTTTCAGTGTTTCTCGACTGGTTTTTGAAATATAGCCATCGTCACTTTAAAAAAGTCAACGTCATTTAATTTGTTGTATTAGAACTGGTATTTTTTGAGCCGCGCCCACAAAACTGAGGAGTTTTGAGTAACTTTAACGGGTCCTTTGTAGTAGCCTGCGTCGCAGACAGTCTAAACCGCCAATTTTATGACACGTCCGCCTGCAACGCAGGCTACTTTTATAGGGGAGTCCCCTCGGGCAAATGTCCTTCACAACGCAATGCTCGGCAAAACAATCAACCAATATCATGATTATTTCGCTAAAATTAACGAGGAACGCGGGAGAAAATTTCAGAAACCCTGTAGGGAAAGCTGGCGCGTTCGTCCCTTTCTAGGAATGCGGCAAGATTATACCTTAGAGCACGTCCGATTTCCGTAGTCATTTCTCGGGCGGCCAAGGTCCAGTGTGACCTCGAATAAGTCTGCCAAAAAGGAAAATTGTTTTTCGCGTAGTTCGAGCAAACTTGCCGCCAGAAATCTCTTCTTGTTCGTTTCTTTAAAGAGACGTTTTCCTGCATACGTGCTCGTTGAAGCAGACATGGAGTCATAAATGTCACAGAGTGTCAGACAAGAATCCAAGCTGTTATCGCTCTGACCCTATCTGTTACAAACCGATTGTTTTCTAACCTTGTAACACAGTATCTTACTGGGAGCTTCGTTTCATATAAAAAGGTGTTAAAAGCTTTGAAGTGCAGTATTTCAATGCAGCAGGCAGAACTGTACTAACCTCTTCCCTAGTGTTTCACCCAGCTAAAATTTCCCAGTCATCCCGAGGGTGTGTTAGAAAGAGAGAGCTCATTTGCACTCAGATAAATTGTCCGGGAAAAGCTGGGGATTTCATACGTGACAACAAGGAATTAAGAGGTATGTGCACGAAAACTTGCACAAGGCAGGTAGATACTTTTTCTATCGATACTGTGTTTTTGCTCATTTGAAACAGCTCGTTTAAAGCTTTCGCTGCGCAAAAATGGAAGTGGAGGTAAAGCGGCTCCACAGTGAATGAGTAACTATATGTGACTCCCATGAAGTGAAACTTGTGAAAGCAGATCGTAATTATAATTTCCTATTCCTCTTGCTGGTAGAAATATGTCATGTCACACCTGAGAGAACTTAGTGTCATGAGGAACAGACAAGCTTCCTTTGTACGAGATTAAGAAGTTCAAAAAGAAGGCATGAGACAAGTTTGCACTGCATGTTTAATGTTAAACTGCAGGTTTATTCCAATTATCGGTTAAGAATTGCAGTTAGCGTTGAACTGCCATACCTTAAGAATGTCCTCTCGAAAACAAGGCAATTCAAACAATTTCAGTTTTAAGATCATTTGATTAAGAATGGAGCGAAGGTCTACCGTGATAACTGAGGAGTCGAGAAAAACAAATCCAAATCAGTAGGCCTTTTGATTGAAGGACTATGATTCGATATTAAAAATCGCTATGATGGATGCGTTCAATTCTGGGAACTCTGACGCTAAAAGAAAACATTGTTCTACTTACGCAATAGCATTTTTTCCTCCTTTCGTCATCTGCCTGGTTAGGGGGAAAAAGAACACAACAAGTGTTTTCTTTTTCAATTTACGGTTACTGTACGTCGCCGTACGCGATTAACGCTTCTTAAAAAGTTTAAACAACTACAGTTTGCTAGAGTTCCGGAAAAAATAAGGAATAAGCATAAGTCCTATACCACTTTTTCCCACGTCTCAAGCTGAAATCATATATCTTTGGAGCTTTGACCGTTGACTCGAAAATTTCAGTGACGTACTTTGCAAAGTTGTCCTGCTGATTTCTTTAGCGGAAATTCGTCTTGATAATTCTCTTTGAAAGTAAAGGTGTACATGTTTTAAAAAATTTCGTGATCACGCTAATTATAAAGTAAAGTGAAACAGTAAGTCAGAATTCACACGAGATGACGCATGAATTGCCTCCTGCTAAACGGGCAGGGAAGGTCTCCATTGATTCAGTAATAACCTAATCGGTAATTAAGGTCAGTCTCAAGACTATCAAATATGCAATATTATCTGCTCTAAATATCGTATAGACTGGAGAATACCGGATCAATTAAGGCAGACGCTCGCGTAATGAGAAAAAAAAAAAAAAAAAAAACACTGCCGCTAATTTCTGAGAAAAGAAACTTACGTTTCCTATCTTTCTCTCTTCAGTTCAGCACGGAGCAGACATGGTAATAAAGGTCGTTATGATCATCCTCCTCGCAGCAAACTTCGGGCACAACTTCCCTGTAACTAACAAGAAACTGCCTTCCACATATGATGACAAGGAGTGTCCTCCCGGATTCTTGCCCTGTATTTCAGAAAAAGACAGAGACGTTCCGGGTCCAGCCAGGGGGAGGAGTTCTCCAAGCCCAGCTTCTCCCAACACAACTACTGCAAATGCCACTGAGGCGACCGCTCCAACCCCATCTCGTGCCAGGAATCATGGCGTTACTGAAACGACAAGCAAGGTTCCTCCTGGGGAAAGCATGGAGGGGACATGGGACTCTAAAGAGGGCGAGCAGCAAGGAAGACACATATGTCCCCCTGGGATATGGGTTTGTTAAGCAGGCAAGAAAATACTCACAACGCCATCTCAAATTTGCCTTTCTGGAATTAAGTGCATTATTTTTGGCTTACTAAGGCAAACTGTGTGACTATGAGACAGAGACAGAGAAAATAAATTGACGGAGAGTTCAAACAGCACTTTATTTTGAGTGCAAGTATATCTGTTTATTCCAAGTAGCTTTAGAAAGACGCGCGACAAGGCAGAAAGCTTGTAAGTATGTCATGTGACAACAACAGAGTTCACCGAGTGCCAATTTTCTTCTCAGTTAACCTGTTATGTTTTCTCTATTTATTTATTTTGTTCGAGTGACTTTTGTTGGTAGTTATATTTAAGTTTATGTTATAATTGATGTTAGAAAGAAAAAAGTAGAAAAACCGAAACACACGCTAACAACTAGTATTGAGCATAAAATTTATTTGTTCAAACCTTGTATTTTGAACTTTAGTAAGACACATTGTTTTCTTTTCGAAAATCATGTTCAAAAAAGATTGCTGGATTATAGAAAAAGTACAGTGATGCATGGTTTCGTTTCGAAAAACGATAAGTAACAGATCATATGAGGATGGCTAATGCCCGGGGGGGGGGACTCCCAAATAAAAAGGACGGGGGTGCTAGTCGGAAATTTTGAAAAGAACCTTTAAGAGGTACCAAAATCCTACTTTGTGGGCGTAGATTGAAATGTTTTTCACCCCTAAAAGGTACTAATTCTTTAACAACACATCTCTTGTCACATTTTTTTCGGCTCAATACCCTAAAACGTAACGTAAAAGCTCCCGCTGTGGAACTTTTGAGGCTGAACACCCTGAGAGGTAGCAAAACCGCTGTTTTACCTCCTATAAGGTACGACGAGCACCCCCGTCCATTTTAAATGGGAGTCCCCCCCGGGGGGACCGGCTAATGACGTAGACGATTGAAATAAAAAAACTAACAACAACATGCACAATCATGGTTAGTGCACTCGTCTCCGGATTGAGCGGCCAGGGTTCGAGTCCTGGCCGGAGACATTGTGTTGTGTTCTCACAGTGCCTCTCTCCACCCGGGTGTATATACGGGTACCGGCAAACTTAATGCTGGGGGTAACCTTGCGATGGACTAGCCTCCCATCCAGGGGGAGAGAAATACTCCTATATAGTCGCTTCATGCTACAGAAACCAGAGATAAACACCAGCCTTATGGGCCACTTGGCTCGTACACACACTTTACCTTTACCACTTCAGTACACTTCAAATTCGGCTCCATTTCTTTTGACATTGGCAAAACTTTCAGTTGCAATGATAAATGAACTGACCGATGCCGCCTGTATTATAAAGATAGTTCCTACTTCTTGGATGGTGAATCTCGTAAATTTATCCTTTCTTTCTTTCATCTCGTAACTCTAAATTTGTCAATGCATTGTTCGTAGTAACGTACGTTCATTTTAAGTGGGGCTGGATGTTTTCCAGCATATTTCGTCCCTTAAAGGGGTCTTTATTAGAGGGGGACGGATTTTTCGAGGGTGAGCGTTTAATCGAGGAAATGCGGTATTAATAAAGGGCCTCGAGAGAAAAAAACAATTCACACCGAGACGCAACTAAAGGAAACCACTAAGTGCTAAACGACGATTATAAGTAGGACTTAACTACGCAACTATAAGCCCCAGATCGTGACAGGTGCAGGAAATACCGGATTTGATGGTTTACCACCCGGGCCTAATAACAAGTTATTGTGCCGTTTTTTACGGTGACCGGAAGATCCGTTAATATAATCACCAGAAACATCACGCAAAAAAGGGGATTTGAGTTTCTTTGTTTAAAGCAGAACTCGTCAACACAGCTTATAGACGCGAATATACGAAACTGAAACCACTCTATGACCAAAATGTTTTCTTGTTACCACTTTCTGTGTCTACTTCGTTCTCTAAGATTATGTTAGAATGAAATTATCTTTATCTGTCATCGCCACTCAAACACCGATTACCTTGTAAAAGACCTCAACAAGCACGCGACTGTCAGGAAAAAATGCGTTGGTGGATCGTTTCCTAAAATAAGATTTATTTCGTAATCTTGTTCAAAAGCACTTGTAAAGAGCGCGCACAGAGTTATTAAATAAAGTGGGGTATTATGCAGGAATCTCGTGCAGGGATAACACGCAAATGACTCGAAAGACATTGTTGTGAATGACTAAATTCTTTACATTATATAACATCCTGAAAGTTAAAGGTCCCTGTCTTCTCGAAAATTTCCACTGTCGAAGCGATGTGTCAACCTTCGCCGCCATATTTACCATCAGAGCCTCTCAGCATGACTAACTAAGTAACGGAATTCCGTAAAACACACAAGAACCAACGTAGAAAACAACATACAGTATCTATCTATCCGAAGCTCCCTAACATATGGAGTGTTTTGAAAAATAAAATATTTATAAGTTCAGTTCTTCGCTCATTATTCACCTTATGGTTTTCCAGTGGTGACCATATTTCTACTGTTTTGAGCCGGTCACTATGACCTTTTTGGATATCTTCTATGTTACTGCACGCCTCCTATGCAGACATTCTTTTAGCTCATCATACTCTTCTCCGTAGAAGGCTACATCTCTACACCAGAAGTAAAGGATACCTTACAGTTGTAAGAAATCCTAATTTGTTCCCCGACCAGCTTTGCCGCTCCTTTATGTCAAGTTTCGAAGGTAAAAACGACCCCGCGATAAAATTGGTTGTTCGTAAATTGGAAAAGTAGCGACCCTTCTGGAAACTCCTCCCCAAAGGTAGCGAAGGTAGCCCAGGCATTGCCTCTTACACAGAAGCACGTTGATCTCTTCTAGTTGAGCTTGCCAAGAGTGCACGACTACCGGTACCCCAAAACGCGTCTCCGTAAGTGGGTGTCCATACGGTCCATAAGATACATTACTTGCAAAAACGTTCGGACGATTTTAATTTGGCGCAATAAAAAGTGTTCGAAAATAGAACCGTCTGAAATTTGAGAGGGTCCGAAATATATTTACAGTTTACATTTTACATTTTTTACATTTTAAAACTTTCAAGTAGCTCCAAAGCGCAGGAGCGAACTCTGTTTGAGATAAGTTGCGGCTTGATAAAATATGTTACTTTTTCGTCGGTATATCTGTAAAACCTTGAGGGTGCAGTAGAACTATCATTTTCACATGTGTTGTTTCTGTAAGTCTGCCCTTCTGTACGGTTCGGAAACATGGAGATCGACGAAACTACTGACCAAGAAATTGCAAACCGTTATCAACAAGTGTTTAAGGAAGATCCTGAACATCCGCTGGCCAGAGGTCATTTCAAATGAAGAACTATGAGAAAGGACACAACAAATACGTATAGAAGAAAGCATTATGAGAAGAAAATGGAAATGGTCGGGCATACGCTACGGAAGCCTGAGAATAATATCACACGTTGCGCTCTCGAGTGGAACCCTCAGGGCTCTAGAAGAAGAGGTCGCCCAAAGCTATCCTGGAGGCGAAGTGTGATAGCTGAGCTCGCCAAGAATAAGTTCACGTGGATAGAGGCAAAGCGAACTGCCAGTAATAGAGTTAGGTGGAGATCCATGGTTGACGCCCTATGCTCCCCTTTAGGAGCGAAGATGGCCTAATGTAATGTAATGTTTCCGGTAGTCTCATTCTTTGTATATTTCAGCAAAATGTCCGAATTTTTAGTCCGAAATCAGTCCGAAAATCCGTCCGAAATAAAACGCCCGAAATTTTTTGCAACAACGTCGTGAGAAACGTTCGGACTACCCTGGGTGCTAAAGATTTTTTCCTTCGTGCACGGCGCGATAGATCCTTCGGATCAGACACCAGAAACCGCGCATAAAAAGCCGCTGGGTACAGAGGGTAGGGCTAGATCGCGCGCCCTGGGCTAGATCGCGGTTTCGCCTGCCGTGAATATTGCCTCTCTTGCCAACGAAACCACTGACCACACAGGTCACTAGAGTTCATTATCAGGCACAGTGATCTTTTAAATTACGTTGCAAACAGTCACTTCCTTCATAATCATGGTTCGTTGAGGAAGCTAGGAAAAAAAAATACGCGGTAAAGAATAAAAATAATAACAATACGATCTGGAAGGTCTATTGATTGACGGGTAAACGGTTTCTTCAGAAAGACAAAAGGAAGTCCACAGGGAGGTCAATTTTGGGAACATTTCTTTGTTGTTTAATATCTTTTAATGTGAATAATATCGGGGTCTTTATGCAAATTTATCTCTTGTTGTAACACGCTGTATTTCGTAATTGTCATTCACTGTGGACAGAATACCGTGAATGTTTTGGTTTCTCTGTACGAACAAGGCGATATTTTGATATAGATCTCTACAATCTGGAACATTTTACAGAGCGTAATACCTCATAACATTCCCAATTAGGGAACACTTTGCAAAGAAACGGCGCAGTGTGAACTGAAGGACATATTTGGAAGTAAGTAACTACTTGTTTTCATGGTAGTTTTCTGATCTGTTGATGAGGATGCTGTTGACAGTTTGTAGGACCTTCTTTGTTGTCGTTTCTTAATATGTGTTGTCTCAATTGGCAAGACAACTCCACGATACGATTATTTATCAACCTGCGTTGCGTAGCGAGATCATGTCGTATTTCTCAACTATCCCGACAAATCACACGAAGTCAAGGTCACAAAGCATTGATTTCTTCAGGTTTTGAGCCATTTTAAACACACAAAGCGAAATACTAGCATTGCACCTTTTCTAAAACCGATTCTTTTCAAAGTTTAATTTTGCTCGGTATGTTTACTTGTCCATTAGGAAAGGTGTACCAGTTTGCGATTGACGTTTCGTGTCAATTAGTAACTTACGTCATGCACTCTCTTTCCGGATGAGTTAGAAACATTTCGTTTGATCCCTGAGCGAACCACCTCAATCAGATAACCGGTATACGACTCTACAACAATTCATGAACAGAATTTAGTTCGACGTTGGAGCCGGTTAGAAAGATCACGATGAACTGTGCAGTCAAAGGTAACGTTGTTGACTCATGACGTATTTCTTTCTTCAGAAATTTACTTGCGAAATTGACATTGTTGGTATCAGTTAGCTGTGAAATAGGTTTCTCGCGGAGTAACGGATTTCCATTCGCAGAAATGGTTTACTTTGATATTAGCTTGCAAAGTGAGTTTACATATAGGCAAGGTAACGTTTTCATACTCCAACATCGACAACTGGTCAGACAACTGGTCAATATGAGAATACTTCGGGTAGTTGAACATCAGCCACAATCATTAAATATATTGCAAATGAATCACTAATAAACACAAAGCGGAATGTTTCATCAAAGTGTTATGATTCTAGCGATCAAGTTTATCCATCAGGCGAGTTCAATCACGTTAAATGTCAGTCTAGGAAATATTTTATTCTTTACCTGTGAAACTGCACCGTGAATGAATGATTTATCGTTCGTTTATTGCATAATTTAGCGATTTTATCGCCCTTGGAACGAATTCCTTTCCAGATTTAACGCTTTAAATTAGATTTAATTGGCATTGGTAGACGGAATCAACGCCAGAAATATCCGTGTTATGTTTATTTGACAGAAAATCCTTAATGTTGACATTTACAATGAACTGGTTACGATTTGCATTTTTTGTTGTTTTGATTGAAAATTAGAGTGATGCATGGAGATCGAATTGAAAGCTGTTTGCACCAAAAATGGGAATAGCGGAAATAAGAAAGGGAAATCTAATCGTCTTCGACAGCTTCCATGTTATCCGGCGCCTGTTTTAATATTATTTTAATTCATAATATTTTATTAGTATTTTTAAATTATTAGTTTTTAATTTATGCTCAGTCCGGGGCTCACCAGTTCCGGGGCTCAGTCCAACTGGCAGTTCATGTGCTCTGCATTTCGATTTGTTGGTGAATCAATTTGTTGGTACTGTTCAGTTGTGATCGGAGCAAACATGGTACGATTAAACATACTACGTTAAAAAACCTGGAATGCGATGTCCCATAGGATAAGTTCCGAAAAAATACGATCTTAGAACATTCGCGGGCCTTTATAAACTCAAGATATCGGGTAAAGATTTTTTTTCATCAAAGCTAATGACTCTAGAAACAAACGCCAGAGATCAATTAATTCTTTTTTTTTTTCAGTTGCCAGCGATCAATTATTTTTTTCGTTGATATGGAGTCTTCCACTTTGATGTGGAGTCATTCACTTTCGATCTATTCCAGAAATAATATTTTACGGACATGAATTTATTTGATTCCCATATAAACACTGTATGATTTACAACATGTGACCATATCACTCACGATCTCCTAAAAAGCGCATTTCTAAGCACAAGGTCCCCAAATCAGGGATGTTACTTTCAGTTTTTGCTACCTTTTGACTTCAGCATTTTCTAATCTCGGTTCGTTATTTGTCTGCAGGAACTAGGTTCACCTCCTTGCAGTCATGTTTCGATTCTTGTTCGCTAGGAGAGGAAAAGGAAACATCTCACCGCCTGTAAAAACACAGCGCAACCCTCAGCTGGCGACAGAAAACATAGACATGCCAACTACAAGAACATTCGACATCTTAAGACCTGTTATTCTTGTATCTGCAGCCTTGTCAGGCTACACGCACCCAAGGTATCGAATTCTAGGGATTGTTGGAGGGTTTGTATGGCTCACTATGCTCCTCGCTCATGGGACATTGGACTTTTTAGCGGCAAGACAAGTCTATACCTATGGATGGGCCTCAGTGTCGTTAAGTCTCGTTCTTCTGTGCTTTGTGTGCACGATTTTTACCAACAAAAGAATGTTACCGTGGCTGGAGAAGGGTATGTCGAAGCTGGAAGATGAGCAAAGGTATCCGAAAACGTTGGAAAGATGCGCGAAAGTTTTCAAGGTAAGGGAATGAAGTTTTCTCAGAGTTGAATGACTCAGTTGGTTGGAACCACTACGGAAATGTACTTTTATCAAGTGCCTCACGCACGAAGTCGGAGAAGGCAGCATTTTCAAAATGGTTTTCAGTTTTGGATTGTCAAAAACTAAGCACCAAGTACTCCCCTTTCCTTCAAATGGGGTAATCTTTCGCCCAACGGGGCGACACGATGTTATCTCACTTTCTTCTCGCTGTTGCATCTCGTCTACACCAACCCCCTACACTCTCTACATCCTCCTAAACTCTTTCCACTCTCCTCTTCGTGACCTCCACCTTATTCTTAGCCTGAAATGTCAGTCATGTCCTGCCCTTAGCCTAATCCTCTTCTTTGCTTTCACCACTTTTGTTGTTTTTTCATTTAACTGCAAGATGATATTTCAAGTTCTTAGCAAGCACCCGGCCATTGTACATCGGCCGTAATACTGTCCCTTAAAGTGACAAACAATTGTAATAGGTTGACAATCTGCTTGATTTTCTCAACAGTGGATACCACTTTTTACTGTGACGTTTGGTTTAATTTGCGGCGCGGGTATCTATGTCTGCCTTCACTTTGATAAGACACTAGACGTGAAGATCAACCTCAGCAGGGATAAATCTGAGATCCCGGATTACGCGCTGGTCATACTAAAAGCGGTTCGCTTCGTAGCAGGTTGTTACGTCATGGCAACCCTGGCCCTATTCTGGAGTGTCGCGGTGTGTGTTATGTACATAACTGGTTATTCCATGATAGAGTTCCACAGTAAGTACCTTCCATAACTGTACATATATCTTCTGCTAAGAGAAAATGTTGCTGAACGATGCATGTTTCATACGCGTTAGCTCTCTTTTCCCACCTCACTGAGGTCGAGGCAACAGAAGCAATCTGACAGTGCTTTCCTAGGCTCGGCTTAAAGTGAAGATACACGAGGTAGATTAAAAACCTTCTGAGCGGGCCTGTACCGTTACCCACTAAAAACGTTTGTTCGTTGCCTCAGGGTTGCCGCCCTGTAGCAACGTTTTATAGGGTGTCTGGAAAACCCGAATAGCGAAGAGCGAATAGTCGCGAATAGTGAACAGCGAATAGTCCCGAATAGCGAATAGCGAATAGCGAATAGTACGAATAGTCTCGAATAGTGCGAATCGTGGCGCACAGTCTCGAATAGTGACAAATAGTGGCAAATCAGTGGCAAATCGTAGCAAATAGGGTACCCAGTATCTGGCAGTCAACCTCGCAGCAACGTAGGACGGGATTTTCCCGCTAAAAAGCACAGACGCTTATCAGGACAAAGGGTGTTTCTAAACGTAATTTCTTCTGTTTTAACCGCTCCAAAAGCGCAAATACGTCTTTATTAGGTTATCCTTGTGTTTTCTGTTTTCTTAATGTCGGCGATGGACAGCCCGAGCCTGAGTCCGGAGGAGAAAAGGTAATAAATTCACTGAAATTCTGTTGCTTATTTGAATAATTAATTAACGCAGGATATTAGACCTAAAGCGGTGACTATTAACGACTATTCGTCACTATTCGCCACTTTTCGCGACTGTGCGCCACTATTCGCGCTATTCGAGACTATCCGCACCATTCGGGACTATTCGCGACTATTCGCTATTCGCGACTATTCGCTATTCGGGTTTTCCAAACACCCCGCTTTACAGATGGAAGTTAGTATATCTCTGCTGTTATTGAATTCCTTAGTTAGTCTTGCGTACATGACGGTGGTGTCTTTTTTCAGATGAGATAACGTCGCACTTGATCAACAGAGACTCACCAATCACGTTCAGACAAGGTGTGGTGTCATTCTCAGAGAGAGGAAAATTTGTGAAAAAGTCTGCGTCTGCATGCAGGGTAAGGCAAATCTGATCCTAACATTTAATAAATGACAAATTAATCAATGATTGATTGACTGATTGAGCGCCCATTTAGTAAGTGAATAAGCGAATGATGTAGCATTGAAGCTAAGATCTCAATAGGCCATTTTCGAGTTACCGTTTACCTCTGTTTCAAAACGAGTCCGTGCAAAACTGTCCATATGAAAATGAGCTTGATGCAGATGAAAATGGAGGTGTCGGTGAAACACATTTTCATTTGTATGGTTTCGCACGAAGACTCGGTTTCACACAGAGGTAAGGGGAAACTCGGAAATAACCCATTTCTCTCGCTTCCTGCCCCAAACAGACCAAACAGATATTCTTGTAGTCAATTCATTTCAGTCAAGCAGGTTTTACCGTAATTGCCACTAGTGAACGACATAGTCACGTCTATAAGATGGATAGCAAATGACGCAAGGTTTGAATACGAGAAATTATTTGTCCCTTCACTGATACATTACCCTGAATCCAACTCGTTTCTGCGGCGTAGAGTTTTGCCTTTCACGTAATCAGTACTCTTTGTTATGATGGAAATACTGTTTATAGCTTTCCAAAAGCTTTTGGTTGAAACCTGAGTATGTGACTATTTTGAGTAAAAGCTTTGAGCAGAAATCCAGTGATACTGCTTATTATGTTGTTTAGAGTGGTTCAACCAGAGAGTTTGACCTCTACGAGATAGATTAGCTGTTCTCTCATGTGGCACATACAAGGTGGTACGATGTGTTAATTTTAGCCCCGCAAGCTTGTCCAAATAGACACCTTACAAAAAAACACATATAATGTAGTTCCGTGTTTCTACCTAGTGTGGAAAATTATCGAGCACTGTGTTCCTTTTGTGCTGTCTCTTTGCAAAATGAACTTTGGAAAATTGTTTTCATTTTACAACTTCAACAGTTTTGTTTAACGAAAAAGACTGCTGTCTTCACCGTTTTTGTTTTCAACCTACAGGTTACCCTGGCAGTTCTTTTGGTGTACAGCATCGCTTCCCTTGCAGTGAATGCATTTCTGTTTTTGTACAAGGAGCGGCATAAAGTGTTCGCGATTTACGCATTGGTTCCCAGTATCGCAGCTGTCTACCCACTATGCATGGCTGCTTGGGTCACAAAGCAGTACTCGTGGTAAGGAGAAAGTCATCCCATCTTACTTATGCCTCTACATAGTAGTTTGCGTCTTGAAATCAGGGCTGAAATCCTAAACTTGGTACTAAACTGACTGGTAATGCAGGGTTGCCACAGACCAGGGAATGGTCAGAGAAAAAAAATTATTTCAGGCCAGGGAAAAGTCAGGGGATTTTATTTTGAGTCAGGGAACACTGATATTGTAACACCGCTGATTTAATACCATTGAAGGCTAGAAGAAACATTTCGGGTCACGTGTGATCTCAAGGCGAAAACTGTTGAAAGGTATAAAGGACGGCAGGACTACTATATCTGAAATTTCGTATTTATTTGGCCAAGGAAAATGTTTTGTTATCAGGGGAATCAAAGGGAATAGTCAGAGTGTTTTGAAAAGTGATGCCTATGGCAACCACCAGTTTTAACAAGTTGTAGACTTCACCCTTCCTTTGCGTTCGTTTAGCAAGTTACATTTGGACGGAACGAGACAGGAATATCAGGCGCCATAAGCTGACAAAATAATACACAAGCGCACGCTCAGTATCGAGTTATGGATTTGCGCGCGTCTGTCATAAAGAACCTGCGCCTTGCTGTTTGTGTGTTACATTCGCTTTTTAACTGATGTGTATATTACATTTTAGTATCTCTAACAACAAGGTGTATTGACTCAGAGGGCACAAGATAACAAACAACTTAAACATAGGCCTCTCAGAAGGCTTAAAACTCGGAATAAAATCTTCGTGCGCGCGTTCATCAGAGAACACAGCATCTAATTGCAGTAAAGCAGGACATAGTTAAGATAACGCATTGCTTCACAGATACAATAATGAGATAAAATTTGTGTGGGAATTTTCTCAGGTACCTTGCGGTGGTAGTGAAAGCCTGGGCCGAGAGACCCGACAGCAGTTCTGAAGACGAAGAACCCGAGCGGCCGAGAAAGAACGAGAAACAAACGAATCAAAAGCGAGGACGAAGTCTGTGGAGAAGGGTTAACAGTGCAAAGAAAAGTTATCGTAAGGCGAGCCTCACTCCACTAAAGAAAACAAATTCCAATCCTTTGGCTTCACAGTCAGACAGTGAAGCTAAGTCTGGCGTGGAGGAAGTGTCAACGAAGAAGAGTTACGCCGGCGAATCCCACCTTCGTGCGCACGCCACTACAAACGATCCGGAGATCTCCGACGACGACAAACATCACGGACACGAGCCGGAAAATGACATGTCGGAAGACGACAAGCTTAGCGCAAAGGAGGCGGATAAGGATCATTCGGGAAACGAAACCCCGAAGAGATCCCGACGAGAAGTCATGGACATCGTTCTTCGTGGCGCTGCAAGGGCAGTCGGCAAGTTGAGACACAACGCAAAGAAACCCCGGTTTAACTTCGAGAAGTACATTTCTTATCTTCAGAACGTTCTGCCCAATATAGGGTTTGACATAATGGGTATCATCGTTACCTGGAACATGGTGTCGGCTATCATTTTTCTCGAGGTTTCTGTTTTGGCTCTTTTTGTGCAAGAGTCGATTTTTGGTAATTCAAAAGCCACAGTTGCGTTATAGAAATTCCAATGAATTCTACACGGCATAGCGTGATTTGTGCTGTAGAATGGCCTCAGTGAAAGCACGGTCATCGTGTTTAAACACTAAACTTCCACGCGCAAATTTGATATTTAATATAGAGACACGATTTAGTGCTCCTTAGAGCACAGTACCTTTAGATTGTGAGAGGATAGTCATTCAAACGTTGACAATCACTTTATTCCATAGTTACATATAATTATGTTCAATTGTGATACTGGCCCAAATTTATCAGTTCGTGTAACCAGAAGAAAATCGCGCGAAACAGTTGGACTCAGTTTCAGTTATAGTGTAAACAGATACACTTCGTGTATCTTAAATGATCAGTGCTAAATCTGCTAGCATGCCTTTTATGGTAAAGCGGGAGGTTTTACATATTCACTGGTATAGACAAGAGCATTGAAGTATATCAACATTAAAAGGTTCGTCTTGCATGTAACTCAACAGATAGCTATAGAGAGTTTATAAACCACTAATTTCTCCCTAAATTCTCCCTTCAATGACGTTACATTATTAGCAAGATAGGTGAGGAGAATATTAAAATTCATCAACAAACAAAGCGATACTGTCTTGACGTATCATTGAATTCTCAACACTTACATAAGAAATATAGGAATCGGAAAGAGCAATGATTAGGACTCAAAATGTCAGAGGTACAAAAATATAACCCAGGATTTCAGGACCTTATGATACAAGAAAATACTTTATGTACTTGCAACTTTCCAGCCATTTGTTAGCTGGAGTTTAATTTAGACTAAATTGATTACATTTAGACTTTTTAAAAAAGACTTTGAATAGAATTATCATACTACATTTAAATATGGGGCAGATCAAGAGACTCAAAAGTCTCTCGAACAAATAAACGTAAAAATTTGAAAGTATTGCCATGCTTGACAATTAAGGTCCTATTCCCGTCCAATAAATGTACAACCAATGATGAGTTGGAGAGATATTTCGACCAGTCGTGGTTTAGGATCGTTAAAAAAGCCACCAGAGGTGCTCCCAAGAGGTCATAAGGCATTCATAGGACGTTTCTGAAGGGCCATCTTTAGGAACCAAAATAGTACCTTACAGGGGGCCCGGGTAGATCCTCGTCACCGTCACCCTCAAATGAAACGGTGAGGTCCACGTAGGCTTTGCCAGGAGCTTTTATTAGTTTGGTCATTCTGCGAGCAGTTTAGGAAAAGATGCGTTAAGTAAGTTAATAACCGGCACTGGACAAATCAAAGCTCGTAATAATTTAGCGACACGACACAACAGGAAGCATATACCACGCATTACAACAAAGTGCAAGGAAGCTATACACAGTCACTATCTTCAACATAAACGAGAATGAATGAAGAGAGAGGGGACTTACTTCTGTTCAAGGCGTTTCGAGTGCCCCGGCAGCAGAGGAACATACACAATTTTTACACCATGTACCACAATGGACACATCAAATCCGTACGTATCCTACAGAGGAGACAATAGCAGATGGAAATGGTTGACAAATACACTAATACTTCTGGTGCATTTCGCCAATACGTTAACTGAAAGGAGAATACTCAGAGCAGAGCTCTTTTCTTCAAATATTGTCGCCGTTTTGCGTTTTTACTGGTTTTCAGTGACGTTGTCAGTCTGACTACAAACATCCA